ACGACATGGTGATAGAAGAAGCAAGAATGTGGGATGCTGTGTTGGACCGAGAAGGGCTTGAAGAGTAGAAACAAGAAGATAATGGTCGGGCAATGTTTTCCTATCAACAAGGCCACCGGGTTACTATGGAGACAGCTCTCTCTCACCTATACCTGAAAACACAACAAAACAGAGGATGGCATGCAAGCAGAAAACGTCACCGACACAGCTATGTTGCATGGGCCACTTACTGCTGGGACAGCAGTCCTAGAGGGGAGGAGATAGTTGTAACGGGGTTATGGTGCTGTAGTGAAGTAGGCTGTCACGTGTCGGGACGATGGCGCTAACCCATCGGGACGCTAGCGTGGTACGGGCGAGAGCGCATAGATAATCGGGCACACAATGGCCAGGAAACGGTAGCAATTAATCTTAGGGGACCACCCCCCCATTGTTACTAAGCTCGCTGTCACAGATACCCTTACACCTGCCTCCCTGCAGCAAGAGCTACAAAGCTTCAGTAAACAGATAACGCAGCTAAAGCGCCAACAACAAGAGTTGCAAGAGCTCACTGAACTTCAGCAACTCCAACAAGAAGTCAAAAGCATGGAATGCGGCCTTACAGGGGAGGACTTGTCTGTTAGGGGGTCTACCCCAAGCGCAAACAAAGAACAGCAAGTGTTGGACGACCTAGACAAACAACTGGCACAACAAAGGCGTTTTGACAACAAGCCACCGGCGGCCACAGGCCATGGACCCAAGATTGAGAAGATACCTGTGTTTGAAGGAAAGAGTATCTGAGAATACCACAATTTTGAGGCAAGGCTGTGTTACAAACACGTACAGAAGAGAAGGAACTATTGGACCTGGGGAGAGTGGTTATTGATCATAGGGAGAATGGCTGCTGGAAAGGCTGCGCCTGTTGTACAAGCTACCCCACGGCCACATGAGTACACTAGGACAATACAAGTAGTCTAGCGTCCTATGGGACGGAAGCAAGCAAGCTATGGGATTCCCAAGCAGTCTCACGTATCCCATGGGACTTTGGGACAACGTCTCATAAGACAGTAAGATACTGTAGGACTCCGTACAATCATTCAAGTATATAGCATGAAGGAACACAACCCTTATAGTTTGTGTTCAACCTTGTTAATCAACTTTGTTATTGGAATCTCACCTGCACTTGAGCCAGATAGTCTTGTCTATACTACTCATTGCATCCAGATGCCATTGTCTTTGACTAGACATCTAACCCTGATCAGTCCAAGCTTTGCTTAAGTGATCAACCCCTTATTCCTTTATGCTACACTTATCCCTGAGAACCAACCCGACTAGTGCCTACAAGCTTTGCTTAAGACATGATCTCAACAGGCTGCAGATTGCTTTCTGTTTGGACCCTTCCATGTTCAGATTGGAAGACCAGAGCATAGCATTTGCGCTTCAGTACCTACAACCTACATTCTGTCAACTTTGCATACAGAGGGAACAGCAGGATGATGGGGAAGCGCTGTCATGGCGCAAGATGATGTCTTTCCTCAACCAGATCAAGAGCCCCATCAACCGTGAATTGCAGGTGACTATCCTATACCAAAAGTCAATGCAAAAAAAAAAGGGCAGTCCATCAACAACTTTGCTGCATGTGTGTCTGCTTAGAGTACATGGTGCATTTTCCTGGTTGCTGTTCCACGCTGCACGCTCTCACGACGACTTCGGGACGTACGTGCCACATCTACGTCACTGGCGGTAGGAGCCATCACAGTCAATCAGCAAGTTGTCACAACCGGGCATTTCGAAAGTTTATCATTGCCACACTGACAACGCTTGCCAAAGCTTCGCACAGAAGCTAACCTCCAGAACATTACAAGACTGAACCCGACTGTAACCGTTGACACTGCGCTGTCTCGCGCAACATGTTGCGACATTATACTTCACAGCGGCGCGCTGCGACCCAGCCCTACGCCAGTATCTGCAGCATGGTCGCTGGCGCTCAGCGTGCATTTTTCTGGTTCCAATAGGTTGCTCAGCCTGCTTCCTCGCAAGACCTCGATGTCAAGGTTCCGATGTGATTAAACCAATCAATCAAGGTTCCGATGGTCAGAGGCCTGCCTGCTCAACAGGCTAACGTGCTGCAAGCTCCAGCCCAGGCGAAAGGCACCGCCGCTCCGCGTCATTTCCAAGCCCCCCAATTGGTCGAAATGGCGTTGTCTCGCAATCCGACAACTTCGACACCTCGTTGCGCACCTCAGTTTTCCCTGCCTTGAGGGAAGAGACCCCGAAGACTGCAGTTGCAACCGCAGACAATATGGGGCAGCTCGTCAAACTACCCCAGAATTTCCCCCAGGATCTTCGCCTTAGCGTGGCTGTTCGCATCCCAAAAAAGCACTATGTGGGAATGGTCCTGCTGGCTGGAAACTGCTAGGACTGACAGTGGCGGGCAGACCCTTGTTAATACGGGAAGGGCCCCCGATAGTCTGGAACGACTGCTTGGAGCACGTTTCGAGGCAGACGCGGGTCGTGTGACTTTGCGGGAAAACCTACTCTTTTCGAGGATGTGCCGTTATCCAGCACCCATCGGCCGATGGATGCGGCTCAAATTACGCGTGAGCTTACTCTAGACGGTGTGGGAGAAGAGTGGAGTGAGGGTCTCAAGCTTCCTCCAAGCATGCTCCTTACCCTTATCTCCGGCCCACTTTTCGTGGATTTCCCAGAGATATGCGGCTGTACGATCAATCGTACTTCGAATTTCGAGCACTTACATTATGCACAGTATCTATAAAATGATTTCTCAAGATCTGCGAGACCTTGGGATCACCCACTTCCTTCGATCTGTTCTTTCAAGTGGCGGCTCCCCCGCATTGTCTACTTCGAATCTGGGGGCGTTAGTGGAGGATCCACACTGACATGCCCAGAATCAATTCGATCGCGCTCGGATCAACCACCAGACTACTATGGTAGCGCGGTTTCGACCTTATCGCACTATGCGCCCCCGACGTACTCCTAAGTCGATCATGGTTAGTAGTCGGCTGTGTCGAACTGTTCATAAGCTCTTCGCATGTCGTTCATTTTTGACGATCCAGCAGCTCCTCCAGTTGTCCTCAAAGCCCCGAGTATTTTTTCTATGACTACATAGTATCTTGGGCATTTATTCCCTTTCAGCGTTCACAATGACCGACTTTAAAGCTCCATACACGGACCCCGAGAAGCATGCTTATGACGACAACGGCATCCATCCAACAACATCCGTTCAACAGGGCACACAGCGACGTGTGTCCATTACGGACGCTGTCTTTGGAGAAATCAGTGAAGATGGTCCTAACTACCGCGCCGTACGTTACATCTCCAATTGCTTTGATCCAGCGATTGACATTGACAGGTTGGTTGGAAAGGTACAGCCGTACTCATGCTGAAAACGCAGATTGGTCTTGGTGTTCTATCCATTCCAGCGGTCTTCCACAGTCTCGGCTTGATTCCGGGTGTGCTCGTCATCCTGATCATCGCTGGTATGACGAGTTGGTCCAACTACATCGTCGGTGTCTTCAAGCTAGCACATCCCGATGTATACGGCATTGACGACGTTGGACGCAAGCTGTTCGGTCGTGTTGGCTACGAACTCTTCGGTGTTACTTTCGCCTTGTACTGGATTTTCGTTGCAGGGTCTGGTATGCTGGGTATTTCCACCGCACTGAACGCACTTTCGTCCCATGGCGCTTGTACTGCTATATTTGTCGCTGTGGCCGCTATTGCTGGATTCAGTCTGGGCAGTATTCAGACACTGGGAAAGATCTCATGGCTCGCCTGGATCGGTGTGGTTAGCATTCTCAGTGCAAGTAAGTCATCCGTGAAACTTGCGGTCTTTGTCGACAATTGTAGCTAACGACTTGGACAGTCTTGATCTTGACAGTGTCAGTCGGTGTTCAAGACCGTCCCGCCGATGCGCCCGTGACTTCCGGTCCTTTCAAGTCAGATTTCGAGCTGTTTGGTTCCCCCACAGCCGCCGACGCATTCGCCTCAATCTCGTCCATCGTCTTCGCATACGCAGGAACTCCTGCTTTCTTCAACATCGTCTCTGAGATGCGCGAACCCCGCCACTATACCCGTGCTCTCATTGTTTGCCAGGGAACCATGACCGCAGTTTATATCGCTATTGGTTGTGTGGTCTACTACTACTGTGGATCCTACGTCTCTTCGCCTGCTCTCGGCTCTGCCGGGCATCTCATGAAGAAGGTCTGCTACGGTATTGCTCTGCCTGGCCTGCTCGTCAGTACAACTTTATTTGTGCATTTCGCAGCCAAGTACTTCTTCATGCGCATTCTGCGTGGTTCCCAGCATCTCACACGAAACACTCCCACACATTGGATCACCTGGATTGGTTGCACTGCCGGTAACGCTATTGTTGCGTACATCATCGCTAGTGCCATTCCCGTTTTCGGTGGACTTGTATCGCTCGTCGGTGCTCTTCTTGGTACCCTCATGTCTATTCAGCCTATGGGTTGCATGTGGCTTTACGACCACTGGCGCGATGCCAGGACGGGCAAGTGGATGTTCATGGTTGGATGGTGCGCGTTCATGATCATCGGTGGTTGGTTTCTGACGATTGCTGGTACCTACGGATCTATTGTGGGGATCATCAACAGCTATAATGCATCTGGTGGATCCGCCGCCTGGAGCTGCGCCGACAACTCGAACTCTTCGTAGATTCGAGATCAGACGACGATCATGGCTCGTTAAGGATCACTGTCACAAATATGGACACGTAGTTATCCACAATGGGAATCATCCTGGGCGCTAGGGTGACAGCGTTGGCCAGGATGCTAATATATCTGGTTATTTGGAAAGGGCATGAGTATCACTTGAACTGCATAGCGGGGTCACAATAACGACATGAATCATGTCATGGTATCAGAAACAATTGTCTTGTATTGCATCTTTTACCAAGCATAACTCAAATTGCTCGACCTACAGTAGACACTGGCTCAAAACCGTCTGCGATAGGAGTTGAATGGGAGTGTTAGGCAGCTAAGCTCATAATGTGGATGTCGCACGCATGATACATAGTAATTCACTGCCATACTACCTGGATCGAGGTCAATGTGCTGCTTGTAGCCTGGAACCCTATGCGACCATTGTATATTGGCGCGAACTAGGTTCGTTCTGCCTCACACTTACCAGCTTTGTGTCTGCTTGCCGTAGTATCGTGTTCCCGTATCACCTGACGTTCGAGACAGGCAGCATTGCTCAACCCCATCAGATATGTGACGCCAATGGTGACAAGGTATCCGATATTGACACTGGACTGGGCCAAGATCAACGGTGATTATAATTGAGATAGCCTTGCGTGTAGTTGTTTGAATACCCGTATTCTCAAAGCTTCATTGTGGTCAAGGCCAATTCATTGTGCTACAAAAATACCTATAATCAGAACTACAACTAGGAAGCGTGGTTTGATCGTGCCAACATGTACGAAAGCCCTGCGCCTTGGACATGCTAGTCGAACTCATAGGCAATCTGAGTTGTCAACATGCATGCACCCTTATTCCACGTGGTTCACTAGACACCATTGAATCCCCTCGGTAAAAATAATCGAAAGTGTACTTTCCAAGTGGCCCAGCAGCGTATACTGCAAGAATGATTGTCCCGAACCATCCAGCAAACTCTTCTCTTTCAAGCGCATCCTTCATCTCCCGAGCAACTGCGCGGGGCGAGCACCCATTAGCACCATAGCCCATAGCCCCGAGCACCATATTCGTCACTACATTGGCCGCCGCCAACCTCAAATAAACAAATCTTCTCTCGTAAGTCATGCTGAGTCGCATCCGCAAAGTCCTCCCCGTCGTCCGTGAGCTTCGAGTGGCATGGTGCAGCCACATCAATGACAGCCACCACATGTCGCTGCCGAACTGGCAAGTCGATAAGACCGCAGCCTAGAGTGTCCTTGGACACCACAACATTTAGCCGGCGCAGGACCCAGATCTAGTGTTCGGAAGCGGGTGCCATTCAGGGATTAGCGTAGCATACAGCGTCGATGGATAGCAGGGTGCCTCTTCTTGCGTCTCGGACAATGTGTAGCGCCAGCCACCGCCAGGTTCTCGATCGCTAGCCAAGTTCAACACGCCCACCTTGCCATGGCTGGGGCCGCCGGGTTCGTGAGTGGAGCTGGGGGTGAGGTTTGTAGAGCCCAAGGTCCGCGCAAGGGCGAAGGCATCGCTGTTGTGAACTTCGTTATGCCTGCAAGTAAGTCCGGGGTACAACGGGTCCGATTTGTCAAGGAGGTAGAGTTGTGCTGTAACAAATGTACTGTCGAGATAAGCGCCGCCTTCAGCCGCTGCTCATGCAGCAATAGCCAAGGTTCATTTAAGCGTATTCTGGCAAGCCTTGCGACGGCTTGCAATGCCGAGCAATTTGGCTTGTTCAGGTCTTGGAGAACCAAAAGGTTTGTTGAACGAGTGCTAGGACCCGTATAGTCTTTTGAAAGCGTGAATGGTTGCTTCCAGCTTACACGGGCCTTACCGTGCCGGACGGCAAAGCGATCAGGACGGTGAAACGATCGCTCTGCCCCACCAACCACCACCACCACCAACTTTACCATGCTGCAATCACCCCAAATGGAGCCTATCAACGCTGCGCTTGCAGCTATAGAATCTCTAAAATCTGGAGAAAAACTTGTATACATGCAGATTGCTAAAAGGTTTGGTGTCAACCGCATAACGCTTGCGCGGCAGCATCAAGGTCTTACCACCTCATGCGCTATCTGCTATCAGAACCAGCAAGCTCTCCACCTACAACAGGAAATTGAGCTTATAGAATATATCAATCAAGTCAGCAAGCAAGGCCTGCCGCCTGATAGAAATTTGGTACAAAGACTTGCTTCACAGCTTGTCCAGAATGAGCTTGGTTACCACTGGATTGATTGCTTTGTCCAGCGCTATCCAGGTCTTCTCAAACCAAAACTGGTCACCACAATGGATCATAATTGCCACAGAGCAGATTCAGAACTGAAATACAAGCTATACTTCAAGCTTCTGCGCAATAAACTTGATCAATATCAAGTTGAGCCACACCATGGCTACAATATGGATGATTGATTGATTGATTGATTGGTTTAACGTCCTATCTGAGTCGAAGACTATGGAAGACAAGAGGGCATAGCTCCTCTGGTAATGCAAAGATTTAGTCACAGGAGTGTGAGATCAATAGGGGTACGAGGGATGGTGAGGGCTCAGGCCCAGAGCAAAGATGCTGAAAACAAAAGTAGTACAAAACAAACAAACAAAGGAAAGAGCAGATATTATGGCAACACTATGCCTAGTCCTCTGGTGACTGCCTAAGATGCCACCTCCTTGTGCCCACCTTGGTCCTGCTGATGAAGTCCAAGGTGGCCTTGATGCCTTGCTTGGTGTTGAGGAGGAGAGGAAGAGTCAGCTGTACCTTCCCAAGGCTGTCCTGCAGGATTTTCCGGTTTGTGTTCATGTCATCCTGAGATGGCTTGCAGCCAATAACAATCCACCCAGTCACACCTCATGGAACCTCATGGAACCTCATGGAACCTCATGGAACCGTTGACACCAACTTCTGGTCGACACCTATATTGTTCACCAGGCCTCCTGGCATCCCAAATCCATCAGAATCCATCTCAGCACACTCCCAAGAGCCATTCCCTCCATTTTCAGACCCTCCAGCCTTCTGGTTGT